TAACTGTGTGTCTAATGCTCATCACCAGTCCTCACATCGGTGTCTCTCTGGCCACCTGGGTTGTCTGAAGCTTGTTCTCGGGTAGGTTCTTCCGAAAGGGCTTATGGATGGCAACAGTGTTCCCTGACTTCTTATATGTTACCAGTTCACACTCATTCTACCTTAAAGTCATTTGTTTTCCAGGATATGGAATCCTCAGATCACATTTTTCCCTTGAGAATCTTAACACATTATTTTATTCTGGCACCAAGTCTTGCTGTCAAAAAGTCTGATGAAAACTTAATGTTCTTATCTTAAATGTCACTACCTATCTTTGCCTAGATGTTCCAAAGGGTTTTTTTAATCTCTAAATGTAGTTTTTTCCAGAACACATTTCGGTGTTGGTCATTGCTGGTTGGTACTTTCAGCTACCCCACGTGCTCCCTCAATGTGTAGTTTCAATTAAGTTTTCCTTTTTCTTGGATAGTTTTTCCCCTTTTGGATAGGTTTTGAAATAAACTCAGGGCTCGTCCTGCTCGCTTGCTTTGGTTCCTCCTTCAGTGTCTCCTGTTGCCTTGCGTGTTGGATCTTCTTTGCCTGTTGTCAATATTCGTGACTTTCTTTCATATCCTTTTTTTTTTTTAATTTCTTTTTTACTTAAACATTTCTTAATTTTTTTTCTGTTTGTCTTAAGGTGTTATCTATTGTGTTTTGTCATTCTAATTTTTTTTTCAGTTTTGAAATGATGTTTTCTTCTGAATGCAATTATTTCCTGAATTCTATCATCTCACTTCTGAATTTTTCTTAGTCCTTATTTTTTAATTTTTAACTTAATTTTTTAAAATTGAAGTACGGTTGATTTATAATGTTGTGTTAGTTACTGCTGTACAGCATAGTGATTCAGATATATATATATATATATATATATACTTTTTCATCAAACCCATGATTCAAATGATACTCCAATTTCTAAAAATAGGATTCCTGTACTGTAGGGGAAACACTGTCCTTTCAGTAAATGGTGTTGGGCCTGAAGAACATCTTTACAGAAAAAAAAGTAATTTAGACTCCTACTTCATATGCAAAAATTGGTTCCAGGTATCCTAAACGTTAAAAAGAAAATGCAAAGCTTCTAGGTAGTAAACATTTTTCTGTTTAAGAAAAAGGAAAAAAAAAAAAAGAACACAGCTTTCTTTAATTCTTTCATCACAATGTCCCAAGCTGCCTAGGGGTGAAATAAGCATGCAGCAGATAAAGTCGACAAATTGGCGACATACAACATCTGTCTAATCTTTTCAGACTCTCATTTCTGTACCAGCCAAGGGTTCCTGGTAGAATATGTTATTTATAGCTCTACATCCAAGTGCTCGCAGTAGAGTCTGGGCAAACATGACAAATAGAAGTTAACTCCTAGGGGAAGGAAGCTTCCTTTGACATTGCCTTGTTTCCTGTTTTGCTGCTATATTTGCTAAGAGTGTCTGAAGCATGTCATTTAATGAGTGCCTAGTCTGAAAACATTTTTACCAGACAAGCCAGGACTACCCTGACTTTTTCTATGGAGATGTTGGCTGATGGCAGTAGATCCTGCTGCCAGGATCCACTGTTGATTCTGAGAGCAAATGGGGTTGAGCAGCAGCGTGAAAATCCTCGCTGTGACTGTGAGTCAGGCTCAGCGCACACGTTTCTCACTGAATCCTACCAAGAACATCAGGAAGTGGGTACTGTCCTCTTCACTGTACAGAGGAGAGCTTTAAAGTTCAGAGAGATGAAACCGTCCAGCCTCACGGGTCCCCGATGGCCATTCTGACCAGTGTGAGATGATATGAGAGGAGCTCTTTCACGAGGGACTGTGTGTTAATTTTGGCTCTTCTAAGGTCTTTTTCATTCACGTTTCTAGTTTCTCAGCCCTGTTCTGGGTGGTTGGAATTGCTCCTGGATGGGCCCCTGGGCTGACCTTTGGGTCTCTAAGTCCGCATTCCTCCCTACTTTGACCACAGGGGTCCTGTGCCCACTGCCTGGCTTGCATCTCTGTCTCCGGCCCCCCACCCCGTACACACTCCGTGCACCACTTATGACCGTCTTGCTTAGGGGTCTCAGCCCCGACCCCAGTCTCTTACTTTGATACTGAAACTTGTCTGTGTGTCCCTGAGCTCAATTTTGTGTCCCAGACCCTGACCTTGGCTTTGCCTCATGACTCATCACATGACACCCTCTCTTAGCATAGGCACTTTTCAGAGCGCGGCTGCCTAGGAGCCGGGGTATGAACGCCGGGAACCGCCAACCGCATCCTTGTTGGTCATACCTGCCTGCTACCCCTCGACCCACCGCCAAGTCCTGACTCCGTACACTCGCAAAAACGCTGGATACTTCCCCTCCCGCAACAGAACTGTGAAACTAGTGGCAGTGTCCCCGTTTAGGACAAGTGAAGGAAAGAGTACAGAAGAATGAAATGACCAGAAAGAAACCGCCCACCCCAAAGGCGATGCATTCCACAATGAGTTCCCAGGCCACATAATCGAATAGGGGGGTCAACCATCTGGTTTGCCCAGGACAGTCTCACTTTTAACGCTGAAAGTCCTGCATCCTGGGGGGCCCCATGGTGGCAGCCACACCAGGAGAGATGGCTCACCTAAAACTTGAAAACAACTTTGAAAACACAACCTGTTTTAATCAGAAGCAACTCTTGTATCTAGTTTACCTGATGAAGCAATGACATTGTAATCTCAAGGTGTGTTTATCGACCCAAAGAAGAATAACTTTGAGAGTCCAGCTTTTATAGGGTATGCCCATCTCTGGTGTTAGCTAGCTGTGTATCTCTTTTTTCAATGCTTCTGGGCTTGGTATTGGCTAGATTGAGGACAAACACAGGGCTAACCTCCCTGGAGAGTCCAGATATTCACAGGTTCACGTCTGGAGTTTAGCACATTGTCAGATCACTAATGCATCAGCCACTTTGGTCCTAGAATGTCTATAACCATGCAATGCTGCACTGTGGGAGGGGACACTTTCTCCACCTCCCCATGCTCAGGAAGTGCCTGCTAGCAGGAGCTCTATATTTTGGAAAATCTACTAGGAGAAAGCAAAAACGAAGACAAGGTGTGCTCCTAGCCCTTCTCATGCAGGTATGTGTGCTCTGGATGACGGAGACTGGCGTCCAGCTTGTGGACGGAGGAGATTCATAGCTTTGTTTCATGCTTTTTCAGCCTTGGGAGAAGGACATTGTAATGTCACTGAGATTTAGGCTGTTATCAATGAAATAAATCTTTCTCAGCACATATCTGAGATTCAGGGAAAACTAAAAAACAGATCTGGAACTCCTGTTGGTGGGGTGATCGGCAGAGCAAAATCGGACACCTAGACAGCTGGGGATGGCTGAGGCTGGGGAAGCAGGGTGTAAAAACGTGAAGACTGGAATCATTGTCCAGGCAGAAAGGGATTCGTTTTCAAAACAGTGATGGAGACTAACATCCATATTAGAGAAAGGCAAGTTCATTGTGGGCTACAAAGCTTTGGGGTACAAGGGGATACCTAAATCAGGTCCAGAGGGGATGGAGGTGAATGGCAGGGGGATGAGGCACATCCTGGACACACATGCACATACATGCATGGTTCTCACTCTCACTACATGGGGACTGTCATTTTTTGGACTTCCCCCACGAAGTGTCATAGCAAGCACTAAATATATATTCCTTTTTTTTTTAATTGTAGTATAGTCAGTTTACAATGTTGTATCAATTTCTGGTGCACAGCATAATGTCTCAGTCATACACATACATACATAAATTCGTTTTCATATTCTTTTTCATTACAGGTTACTACAAGATATTGAATGTAGTTCCCTGTACTAGGCAGAAGAAAACCGTTGTTTATCTATTTTATATATAGTAGTTAGTATCTGCAAATCTTGACCTTTTTATCCCTTCCCACCCACTTCCCCTCCTCCCCAGTAACTGTAAGTTTGTTTTCTATGTCTGTGAGTCTGTTTCTGTTTTGTAGATCTGTTCATTAGTGTCTTTTTTCTTTTCTTTATTTTAGAGTCCACATGAGTGATATCATAGGGTATTTTTCTTTCTCTTTCTGGCTTACTTCACTTAGAATGATGATCTCTAGGTCCATCCATATTGCTGCAAATGGCATTATTTTATTCTTTTTTATGGCTGAGTAGTATTCCATTGTATAAACATACCACAATAAAGATATTCAGTCATCCATCGATGGATTCTTCTTTTAATTGAACCAGTGAAGTTATTATTTTTGTTGAGGATCCTGGAGTCTCACAACTCTGGATTTGAATTCTGACCAGGATCAGACTCATTTTTCTCTTTGCCTCTCAGTCCCTGAGACCTTACTGTGTGCTGTGTCCTAGTGGCATAAGAAGACAAATTGCTTGCCCTCAAGAGTCTTGGGGAGGAGACGGAGGAGCAAACTGTGACCACTGCTATTGCAGAGGTTTGGACCTGCTGTGGGGAGAAGGCTTCTTTCTCCCTCATGGAGGAAAGGGGAGCTTTTGGGGAGTAGAGAGAGCGAGGGTTGAGATCTAGACAGGGTTTCTCATCATTGGAGCTGTTGCCATTTTGAACCAGACCCTTCTTTGCTGTGGGGGCTGCCCTGTGCGTGGCAGGGTGTGGAGCAGAGCCCCAGCCTCTGTGACTAGATGGCCAGGTGAGCAGCCTCCTTCTCTCCAGGTTACAGCACAAAAAAACGCTTCCAGAAGTAGCCCAGTGTCCCCTCGGGGACAAAATGACCCCTGGTTGAGAACCACTGAGTCACCACGGAAATTAGAGAGGAGAAGGGCCTTCTGTGCCCAGTAGGGCACCCTCAGTGGGTCAGAACTGGGTGGAGCTCCGTCGAGGGGGAGGCTGGAAGGTGGATGGGTGACGTCTGACACACACACAGCAGGCAGACTAGCCACTGAGGCGCAGGGCAGGCACCACACAATCAGCCAAGGGTGCGTGGGGCGGCCCACTGTAGGTCTCCAACAATATGCACTGTCTGGCAACTTCCTATTGTAATTCTTTTCAATGGGGCACTGGGAATCGAACCCAGGACCTCGTGCACGCAGAGCACGCACTCTACCACTGAGCTATTTCCCTTCTCGTTGTAACTAATTAGCCTCGCTAAGTACGCTCTGAGCTTTAAAACTCATCATTTCAAAATGCTGCACAGAATAGTTCGGTGCTTTGGGGAAGCCCAGAGCTTGTTTCAGCCATGCTCTGGAGGGAGGGCTTCACGTGACTCACCAGGAGCCGGCCAGGAGGGTCTGGTGGAAGCCCCTTCTCGTAGCTAAACAACCTGCTGTAGAACATCAGAGGCACCAAGACTAGGGTCTGGGGGACCAGGTGGAAGGTGTCCGAAATAACGGGAGCCTGAGACAAAGACACAATGTACCTGGGGTGGAGAGGCGGGGCCAGCTCGTGGGTCCATTAGGAGGTGTCATTGGCCAGGCTTGGCCAGGGGAGGGCCTGGTCCTGGATGAGCCCGGGGCGTCCGGTTTGCACATCTCCCTTGGCAGGTGCACAGAGATGGAAGGAAGGGAAGAGCCAAAGCAGGCGTGGGGAGTGGGGGTGGGGGAACAAAGATGGCAAGTTAGAGTCACCAGTCGGGACAGCAGGGAAATGACCTCACAGACCCCCGGAATCTGGAGTTGGGGAGAAAGACTGAGCTGAAGATAAAGATGTGTGAGTCCCGGTGTTGAGGCATTAGCCGGAGCTGTTGGGGAGATTGTGGGGGAGTGTGTAGAAAGAGGAGCGAGGAGGGTGGGATGGAGTCCAGGAACCATAGCTGTATTCCACTCACTATCGACTCCTACTTGAGTCCCTTCTTCCGTGGGCCCTGCCCAAACCCCAGGCCTCTGTGGTTCTCTCCTAACTACTTCCTTCTTTTAAAACCTAAGCCACTTGTGTTCCACCTAAATGGTGACCATCCCGGGGACGTTTGGGGTCTGACAACTCCGTATGTCGGTTCACTTTTCTGTGTCACTCCACTGTAGGCTCCTGAAGCCTGGGTTCCATTTTTGTATCCACTCCCTGCTCTCTCGAAATCAGTTAAACTGGGGACAGCCCACTCTCTGAGGGCTGTGGGGTCCTTCGTTGCAGGTTCTGGGCCCAGCTGGGCATTTGGACCAGAGGACAGAGTTCAGTTCCCTCCAAGGAGCCCTCCACCCCTCCACCCGTATCCTTCCTACTGGCATCTGGGCTCAGGGCTGACTCACTGAATCAACCTTTCTTGGGTGTGCTTGGTGATTCTAAACCCTGATTCCGTGAGCAGCCAAAAGGAGAACCTCCTTGGCCTCACCTCTGAAAACACCCCTTGGAAGACTTGTGTTTTTTTTTTACTAAAAATAAGAAATGGGTGAACCCTTTTTTTGGGTGGTTGTTGTTTAAATTGAATAAAATAAACAAACACATAAAAAATAAGCTGGATGTTGAAGCAGCGTGTTGAAAAATCAAGTACTGGGTTCATTGTTGATTTCCGAAAAAAACCATTCAGATTCTGTGAACCCTGTTGTAACTGATGATCAGCACCAGAAAGCCCAGTTCGAGGCCTTCCTGGGCCTTCCTGGGCGCGGCTGAGGGAGGCGGTGTGAAACCTCCCTCTCCTGTGGGGCTTGGCTGCCGGGAAGTGAGGGTGTTGTCACCAGGCTGCTTCTGAACTTTAACCCACTGCTGCACCGGGGGTCACGGCAGGATCTGGGCCCACGTGCTGTGCGCCCACTGTGGGCCGCGTGTCTGCCGTGTGCTCTGACCTGCAGGCTCGGGGGTGTCAGCGCCCCATGGGCTGGCTCTGATGCATGAAAACATGGTGTGATGCAGAGGGAAGCGGAGACTCCCTGGAGGGGCAAACCTCATCCAAGAGGAGTGAGGCTTCTGTCATCAAGGCTTTCCTGGGCTCCGGAGGGAACTGCAACATTGTCTGGGTGGTCACGCTGTTTATTGACCCATCCCTCTGTCCCTGCGTTTGAGGTCCGCACTCTTTCTCTCTCTCTCTTTTTGTGTTCTGCCTGAATGCTGGGCTCTGGGTGATTGCTTCTTGTCCAAGTTGCTGGTTTAACGATGGTGTGAATCGGAAGGTGCGATGAGCCCACACCCACGAGCGCCCTGGCCCCTCCTCCCCCTCTTGGCTCTGCCACGTGTCCGCCTAACCATCATGACAGCTTGGGGTGGAGAGCAGCTTTCTTGGACTGTATTGAGGTTTCAAACCACCTCGGGGCGCAGGTATCAGAGCTGAAAGTGTTTCTGTATCTGTTCCAGTGTCCCGCCAAACTGTCTCAGCCTAGCCATGATATTTTTACGTTTAAAGGCATCTGGAGAAGCAGGAGGACAGACTTCCTCTGGGCATGAGCATTTTCATTCAGAATAACGTCATTTAAAATCTGTAGGACTGCGCTCTCCCCTGTTTTTCCCGTGTGTGTGCTGAGTTTGTAAAGTTGTCAGTTTCCACATCTCAAGTGCATGGAACTTTTTCATTGCAGTGAATTTGATTTTTGGTGGGAGGCAAATAGGGGCAGAAAGAAAGGTGCCCCGTGCCTGGTTTCTCCATCCTCGCTCAGAGATTTGCTAACACGCTTGGGGTGGAGCAAGCCTGGCTTTGGGGCAGGGGTGGACTTGGACTGAGGGTGGGGGCGGGGCAGAGCAGAGAGAGACCTGACCTTTGCTTCTGGAACTTGCAGGAGCTCGCTGGAGGGGCTGAGCCTTCTGCAGACGTGCAATCCAGAAGCCTCTAACCCTTTCCCGTTTGCGCCAGTGTGCTTTTTAGAAATCTTTGTTCCACAGCATCCGACCTCCTGTGTGTGTGAGTTGGCATGACTGGGGAAAAGTGGATAAACCCTGGGGATGCAGCAGGCAGGGAGGGTGTCAGGGAGCCAGTCAGGGATGCTCTGGGCTAAGCCATTTGGAAATTCCTTCTTGCTCCTTTGCTGAGGCACCTTCACTCTTGGATGGAGACGCAAAACCAACCACGTTTCCCCTTCCTCGCCCCGATGAAGGGAGCCCCCTCAGCTGCAGGAGCGGTGGAGACATGTGGTGACCACGTGGTTGCCACGCAGGCAGTGAGTCAGCATCCCACCCGTCTCAGAGGTCCTGCGAGCCGCAAGGGTGCCCATCCCCTCGGGTTAATATTAACCGTCCAGGCGGGTCCAAGGCGAATCCGGGAAGAGAGGCGTGGCACCCCCGGGCTGACAGACCGGAGAAACCGGGAGCTGAGAGTCCTCTTCCCCTGGTTCCCTCAAACGGCCCAGCTTATCCCTTCCGAAAGTTCCTTTTCTCTCTCCCTTCTGCCCAGGTACTTAAGCGGAACACTGTGGCTGGCCTGGCCCGTGTTGGGGAGGGGCCTGAGGGCCACCGTGTGCTTGCGATGTTGCACAGGTGAAGAAGGGTTCTGGGGTCAGAGCTGGGTTAGAGGCCAAGGTCCATGGTGGATGGTGCTGAGGTCCTGGGAGGGATGTTTCCTAAGCCTTAGTTTCCTCATCGGAGGAGAACAGACAGCACAGCATGTCCAGTAGGACAGCTTCGGGGAGGTGGCCACTACTGTCTTCATTTTCACCAAAGGCTGGTTCCCTTCCTCTTCCCCCAAAATGTGGCTCTCCTGCCACTTTGACCTAGTGAGGGAACTTCTCAACAAGTCTGCCGTGAAGACTGCGGCTGGAATTTTATGCACGGAGATGAGGGTACCCCTCCCTTAGTGGTGTGCGAGGGGAGGGTGGCAGTGTGCACAGAGGTGGGGGGACCACGCAGTGGGGGCCGTGCTGGGCTGCACCCACTCAGCACAAGTGCTGGAGGGGCTGCAAAGAGTCGATCCCCCTGGAGAGGGGCTTTCCTTAGTGATCCCGCATCCATCTGTGAGCCAAGATGTCCTGATTATGGGGTATCACCAGCCCTCTGACATTTGGAAAGCTGAATTCAGATGGTGTGAGTGAGTTTGCAGCTTCGGGGACTTGGGTAAAGGGGTGACGAATGGGGTCGTGTTGTGTCACGGCTCCTGTCCTTGACGTCTTCTCCTCCACCGATAAATAGCCGGGCTTGGCCAGATGACTCGAGGGTGGCTTAACTCCTGGGATCATTCATGGCCAGCTCCTGGGAAAGTGGGGAAAGTGGGAAACAAGCAAAAAGAGGAAGATCTGTTTGTTTGCTCGAGAAATGTTTACCGAGCACCACGATATGACAGCCCATTCTAAGCCACAGAAGATGCACATCCCAGTGAGGGAGGACAAGAAATAAATAACGCCTTCAAATTAACAAACAAGAGACTTCAGAGAGCAGCAGGCTCCCCGAAGATAAAGAACAAGGCAGTGGTTCTCCAATCTGAGATTGCATCAGGCGCACATGGAGGGCCAGCCAAAACACAGATGGCCGGGCCACAGCCCAGCGTCTCTGGCTCAGTGCGTCCAGGGAGGGCCTGTATAATTTGCCTTTCTAACACGTGCTCAGGTTATGCTGATGCTGTTGGTCCTTGGACCACACTTTGAGAACCACTGACTCTGGTCTCCGCCTCAAGGGGTGGGGTGGGGGCTCGTTTAGAAATAGCTCAGGACGGGTCAAGTGTGTCAGGATTGTTCCCTTTGAGTTGGCTGGAGGCGGAAAGGATGGAGGCTGTGTGTTATCTGCAGTAAGTTTTGGAAAGGACAGCTGCAAAGGAAGGGAAACCTTGTCTTTCTCACCTTTCACTCTGCTTCTGTTCCCATTCAGAGGAGCATTTGGAAGCTCGTTGTTCTGGGGAGGTGGCCATCTCGTTGGCCTCAAGGCATGACACCACTTTGTGGCCTAGAATGCTCTCATCTGTTTGTTCGTTCTCATGAAGCAGCAGTTTAAAGGCCAGATCTGAGTCTAAACATTTCAGGATCATCACTGGTACCAAAGAGAAGGAAACCTCTGTTGTGGTTGTAACCAGCCCTAGGGTTCCCTACCGTCACCCGCTGGGTAGGTGTGCTTTGTAAAAACCGACCTGTATGTGAAATATAGATAAAAGGCGTTGTCAATTAATCATGATAATTTACCCGAAGGCAGAAGACGTAACGTCTTCACCTTTCTGTCCTCAGTGTCTCGCAGCACGTCTGCTCTGATGGTAAGCCGTATCTACTTGTTGACTGCCAGTATTC